GGCTGTGGAGGGTTTTCATTACCTCGATCATCATCCCCACCGCGAGGGGAGGATGTAGAAGGAAGAAAGAAAAGCCGGACCTGGTCAGTGCACTGCTGAAAACGACAGCTTGGAATGAAGCACACACCTGATATCTGTGGCTCCTCCAGAGCAGAGTGTGGATGTGAGACAAAGGGGAGGAAAGAAGGAAGGAAGCCGAAGGCCTAGCCCTGAATGCTCACGCATCCAGCAAAAATAAAGAAGCAAAAACATCAGAGCAGAGAGCGGGTTCTTGGTAGGTGGTCCAGGGCTAGAAAGGTGATCTAATAGTTTTCTGTTTTTTCTTGCGATGCCTTGTAAACATTAGATTAGGAATCTCAACACTCGAGGGAACTTTATAGTTGAAAACCAACAGCCATCTCCCAATAGAAGATGAAGCAGAGATGGCAGACATCAAGAAATACAATTCCTCTCCCTCTACGTGCAGGCCAACAATGGAGACCGTGGGTCTCTGGGGCATTGCTGCAAACCTAATCTTGTTTCTTCCTCTTTCTCTCCTTCCCTTATTTCTTTTCTCTCTGTCATTATTCATGTCACAGTCAAGTGCCCTCTTTGAAAAAAGCAAGTCTCCATCTGAATGGAGCTGGGGCCAGGTTCACAGGAGTTATTTCTTGTTGGAATGTCCTCCCTGGCAGGTGCTTCTCATCTGCTAACTCCCACATCTTCCCCTCTACTGGGCTGGCATTAGCATCTCCATTCCGATATGGCCAAATAGTAACTGAGAGGTAAAGCCAGTATCTCTCAAACTGGGCTGCAAAAAAAAAGTTGTTTTTGTTTGAATGCCCAGTCTCTAGACTCCAGAGATTCTGATGTAACTGGTCAATGTTTTTAAAGTTCACCCCAGTGACCCTTACATGTCACCAGAATTGAGACCCCTTATGTTGAAGAATATTACCCAAGGAGTGGTACTCAAACACCTGGAAGGTTCATGAAACATAGATTTCTGGACCTGTCGGCAGAGTGTCTGATTCAGTGGGTCTAAAGGTGGGTCAGAGAATTTGCATTTTCAGCAAGCTCCCAGGTGACACCCAGGTGGCTACCAGGGACCACACTGTTAGACCCACTGGACCCAAAGCATATAGGTTGTAATTGGTAAGATGGAACTTAGGCCTCCCTGCCTCTAAGTCTGCACCCTGAATATGTTTGTATTTCCCTTTTCTTTTTTATTATTATTTTTTGAGATAGAGTTTCGCTCTTATTGCCCAAGCTGGAGTGCAATGGCACGATCTTGGCTCACTGCAACCTTTGCCTCCTAGGTTTAAACAATTCTCCTGCCTCAGCCTCCCGAGTAGCTGGGATTACAGGCACCTGCCACCATGCCCGGCTAATTTTTTATATTTTTAGTAGAGATGGAGTTTCATCATGTCAGCCAGGCTGGTCTTGAACTCCTGATCTTCAGCGATCCACCAGCCTAGGCCTCCCAAAGTGCTGGGATTATAGGCAGGAGCCACCGCGCCCAGCCTGTATTTCCCTTTTAAAATGGTTTATTGGATCAAAAGAGTCTCCAGACACAATGATGACCGAGGAGCAGCTGTAGAATCTCTTTCCTGAAAGATGTGGCAGAGAATATTCCAGGGCATCGCTGCTCAACATGCGCTCTGTGGACCAGGAGTATTGGCATCACCTGGAAATTCACTAAAGGTGGAGTCCCTCGAGCCCCGCCCCAGAGCCAGGATTGGCATCTGCATTTTTACAAGGCTTCCAGGGGATTTTATGCACATGAAAGTTTAAGTAGTGCTGTTCTAGGGGAGCCGAGAAACACCGTGATTAGAGGATGGAGAGATTAGGTGTGCGCTGCCCAGCACACCTGCGGGGGTGGGGGCAGGGGCTGCAACTCATCTAGGTCATCTTAATTCCAAGCAAATACTGGCAGCGTCCAGAAGGGGGTTCAAAGAGGGCACTCAACCATGATGATAATAATGACAAAGAGAAAAGAAATAAGGGAGGAAGAGGGAAAGAAATGAGATCCAGGTGGCAATGTCCCAGAGAGTTCAGGTCTAGAGACTGGATTCAATGATGCCTACAGTACGTTCAACCCTGGCACTGCCACTCAGCCCAGAGGCAGAGGAAAGAGGGGAAAGTTGTGGGCTGGGCTCTGAGCAACCCTTGCACGCACTGTCACATAAGCCTCACCAGATCCTTATCAGAGATGGCCATTCCTGGTGGATTAGTCTGTTCTCACATTGCTACAAGGAAATACCTGAAACTGGGTAATTTATAAAGAAAAGAGGTTTAATTGGCTCACAGTTCCATGGGCAGTGCAGGAAGGATGATGCTGGCATCCGCTTTGGCTGGGGGGTGGCCTCAGGAAACTTATGGTCATGGTGGAAGGCAAAGGGGGCGCAAACACTTGACACGCCCAGAGCAGGAGGAAGAGAGAGCGAGGGGGGAGGGGCTACGCCTTTTAAAAAAACAAACGAGAACTTGCTCAGTATCACGATAACAGAGAGGAGGATGGTGCTAAACCATTCCTGAGAACTCTGCCCCCCTGATCCAATCACCTCCTACCAGGCCCACCTCCAACACAGGGGATTACAATTTGACATGTGATTTGGGCACGGACACAGATCCAAACCCATTCACCTGATTTCCAAGGAGCAGTCAAGATGGGGAAGATCAGAGGACCTGTGCAGGTCCCACAGTTACAAAAAAAAAAAAAAAAAAACCTAGGGGATTTCTTATCCAGGTCTGGGATGCCAAAGCTCACATTCTCCTCACCACAGAATGTGAGGGATGGGTTCATGGGAGGTTATTACGGAGGCACTGGAATTTGGGAGTTCCAGAGGATTCCCAAATTCTGCCTTGTCCTTTGCAAAACAGAGTAACCGAGACACTCTGAATGGATGTGGGAGACAGAGCTTTGTGATTACAAACAGGGGCTCTGGGCTCCAGTTGCCCGAATTGAAGCCCCGACTCCACTCTTTGCTAGCTTCAAGGTCACGTCTATAAATTCTCTTTGTCTCTGCCTCCTTGCCTGCAAAAGATGGAGATGATACTGATATCCACCTCACTGAAATTTTCCGAGAATTAAACCACATAAAACATTCAACGTTCTAAGCCCTGTGCCTGGTACATAATAAACACCAGGTGTTCTTGGAAGATGCACCAGTCCCCAGTCCTGGTCCAGCGAAGTCATCTCTTTAATCGCTGCTCTGGAAAGGAACACCTATAATTCCACAGTGGGACGATGTGGAGAAGAGGAATGCTATGGGAAATGTGGGTACAAAATGGGAAGGCATTACGCGCGGATGAAGCCCAGTTATTTATGTGATTGCAGGATGTTTGCAAGGAGACACTGAAAATGCACACGAGTTGGCATTTCCCCACAAGTGATGGCAGTGAGCCTGGGAAGGGTAATGTCGACATCAGAACCAGCTGGCTGTGCCTGCCAATTCAGAAGCCAATCAGCATTCCCACCCTTTGAACTCTCCCCACCCCAGTCCTACATTTTTAAACCAGAGACCCTGAGCCCCCTGGAAGGGGAAATAATCCCTGTCCCATTTGCTACCCATAAATAATACCCTGCAAAGAGTGCCCACTTTAGTACATTATCTTGATTTGCAGTTACCTTAAGTGCAGGAGACAGGCTTGGAAAAGCACAAGCTGAAAACCTGCAGACTTCTGCGCTCCCCTGGGCTCAACAGTTTCCAGAAGGAAGATCTGTTTTTAGAATATTTCCCTGTTCAAGAGGGGAACTAGTGGTCATCATCAGAGGTGCCTTAGTGTGCCCTAGGTTTCCATTCCTAGGGTTCACAGGAATCCACGTAGAGTTCCCCTTCCTGCTCAGCTGCTGCCCCCCGAAGAGCCAGCTAGCTTTGCCCAGGTCACTGCAAAACCTGCTGAAGTAGATGCCATTATTATAACCACTTGCAGGTGAGAAAACTGAGTCTTAAAGCGATTGCTTGCTCAAGATGATGCCTGTAGCAAGTGATTGAGGGCCAGGGTGAGAGCATGGGCTTCCAGAGCCTGGGTATTAGCTGGCGGGCCAACCTTCATCCATGGTGGTGCAGGGGAGCTATCACTGAGGCAGGGACTCACCAGACCTGTGTGGACATCTTGGTTTTGATGTTCACCTTTCCTCTGATACCAGTCTCCCCATTTTTCTCTGGAAGACCCAGTATCAGTCTTGCCCTGGAGGGCACCTGACCCATGCCTGGCCAGTCAGCCCATTCCTCAGGCTGCAGGGATTGGTTCATGAATAGGCACATGGCTAGAGAGGTGGCTCATTCTGCTGGACATGGGGCTATGAGCCCAGGAGCCTGGAGGGAGAACCTGCCTGAGAATTAAACCAGTGCCGAGAAGAGCGAAACCCAGAGATGTTGCGTCAGGTAGGAAGACCATGCTAAGCTGAGGTAACAAACAATTATTGTTATTATTATTATTATTATTTATTATTCTGTCGCTTAACACAATAAAGGTTTATTTCCCCCTCTCATAAAGTCCAACATGGGTCAGATGATTTTCCAGGGCAACTGTCTTCTTCTCTTCCGTAACTTGGGGGTTCAGGTGCTCTCCATCCTGTAATGGCGCCATCTCAACATTACAGGTGATCTCCATCCTGTATTGTCTCATTCAGTTGTCTCATTCAGCAATGTCTCACACTCATTTTATTGACTAGAAGTTGTCATGTGACTCACCTAAACTCAAAGGGGCAGGGAAATATGGCCATCCAATGTGGCCCAGAAGGTAAGAACTACTCAAGAATGATCCCCAAAGGTCTCCACCACAGCTGGAGAGAAAGAATGTAGTTTAAATTATTTGACATGATTTAAATCCCTAGATCAAGCTGTGCCTGAAGGAGTTGTGGTAGTTCTTAAATGAGATAATAATTCTTTTTAAGGTCTAGTTTAAGTTTAGCTTTTTTCTCACTTGCAACTGAACAAATCCCACATGACAGGAACATTACCTAGTCCTGACTCCCTGGCTGGCTCCCGTGTCTCCCTCCTCCCATTGTAAACACCACCCACTATGAGCTTCTGCCCTTCCACTCGTTAAGGAGAACTGCAACACACATAAGCTTAAATGTTCTAAGTTTTCCCAGGAACTGTCTTTTCAGCCACTGTGAAGGCCAAATTGTACCTGAGAGAGTAAGTCACTTAGGAGAAAATGAAAGTCCACGCTAAAAACAGCTTTTCGTCTTGCAAATGAATTGGGTTCCCCTAAAGGAAAGCTAGGACTTCCGTAGAATGCCATAAAGTTAGCTCTCTGAGATACTTTAGATAAAGTGGCTACATATGTCCTTAGACTGGCAGCAGCAGCAAGAGTTGACCTGATCTCTAGGAGCTTTGCTTGAAGACTTTGGCTGGAGAGAGGAGACCTGGGTTCTGGTTTAATCTTTGCCACCAACCAACTGGCTAATATTGAGCAAGGCATTTATCCTCTCTGGGCCTCAGTTTCCTCATCTGTAAAGTGAGTATGTTAAAGTAGCCAGGATCTAATGTCCCCATCTCCCTTATGCCCTAGATTTCTGTAGGGTCCCACCTCCGCCTACAGGTGCTCAGAATGTGGCTCAGCAGTTGTCCTAATGAACCAGCAGGAGTGACTATGCTGGTTGAAATCCTTCCCAGAACTTCCCATGCGGAGTGGCTGCGTGCTGTGTGTACTTGCTGGGTAGACCACTGCCAACATCATATTCGAAGAACGCTGGACTGGGAGCCAGGAGATACCACTCGTTTCATTGCCTTTGGCAAGTCCTTTAAATCTCTCTGGATTTCTCCATCTTTCATGTTGGAATGGTGATCGGTGCCTCCTTCAGAAGATCAAACAACCTTCTAGAGTCCGCTTTGGGCTTAGAGTCACGTGACATGGTTTGAGTTCTCACTCTGACATCTTCTAGCTGTGAGACCTTGAGCACGTTGTCATCTATCCACACTTTAAGTTCTGTAAGTAAAAATACCGACCATTCACATTATTAAGGGCTTTCTGTGTTTCTCTACAACCTCATAAGGCAGGTGCTGTTATCAACTCTATGTCCCAATGTCCTTTAAGCTCTCTAAGCCGCAGAGTCACAGAGCAAGTGGCAGACCCAGATTCCAATCCAGAGCTATCTGGCCCTAGTCCCTGTTCCACACCACCCTCCCTGCTTCCCTGACATGGACAGTGAATGAGGATGGGTACAGAGAAGCCCCAAATGCTTCAGCGATGTCTCATTCAGTTTTGTGTCATCCTTCATCCCTAGAAACATAATTAAAATGTAGTATGGTCTCAGAGGCCTTGTGATGAGTGATTGATTAACGGGTGCTTAGATGGATAACAAAATAGATACGTTATAAATGCAAAACAATGTAGATGCTCAAATGTATGTGTTGACCCAGGTACCAACACAGCCATTCCATGGGAGTTCCAGGGATGTGATGATCAGGTGTGCTTGGGGCTGGGATATGGAAGTGGCCAAGTTGAAGGGGTCCAGACCACCACACACCAGAGGGGCTAGAGTTTCTTCCTGTATTCCTCCACCAGTGGCCCAGAAGGTCCAGACATGTGCCCAAAGTAGGAAAGTCATCTAATTAGAGCTCTGATGTTAAATCACATGAGGGCCTTCCCTGGAGCTGAAGATAGAAGGCTGGGAATGAGGCATGGAGAGCTGGAGAAAAAGAGCTGTCCACCCATCACTCTGCCATCTGGGTCCCATGCACAAAGTGAATGGGACTCCTCAGCTCTTTGAGGAAATGTCAGTAGCCAAAACAATGTCTTCCTTGTCTTCCTTCTTGTTTTTTCACTCCTGTATGCTCCTGTGGCCCAGGAATATACAGATTCATCCATCCAATTTTGGGTACCTGCTACGTGCCAGACACTGCTCAAAGTGTTTGGGATATCCTTAAATAAAAACAACCACAAATCCCTGCCTGGGTACACCTTATGTCTGATCACAAGAGCAAACCCTACCCAATCACTGCCAGAATTATTTCATGAGGGGTCTTCTGCACTGACCATCTGATTATCTTGCCCTGATCAAAGAGTCAGAGCTATGTTTCAAATGCTGGGATGGGTCCTAGAATAAACTCACATCTCTGGAGAAGACCTTCAACACTGAAGAACCAGCTGGTCCCTCCCTTTAAAAGAAAGGCAAAGGTCCTTTGGACTTCGTGGTTCCTTGCCAATCCCAGCCTAAGCCATTCAGCAGCAGGAAATATGTGCACCCGATGAGGTCTCCCAGGTGGGTCTGCAAAAAGAAGAAAGCAGGTCAATAGACACTAGTTCTCCAAATTAATTCACTCAGTGATAACAGTGGGCACTGATTAAGATCATGGCCCCTTGCTAGATGCTGAGACAAACACTGAAGAAATAAGAGGCAGTTCCCACCCTCCATGAACTTCCAAACAAGCTGACAATCGGATGGGCTGAGAGGTTTAGGAAAGCTGTTTGGTAGGCAGTAAATAGAAGGACAGGATAGGCAGAAGGGAAAACCAGGACCAAGTTGGATGTAATAGTGAGAACATACACAGCCCAGGTATAGCAGCAGAGAGCTTATATTCATTCAATCACTCGCTTGTTCATTCAGTCAATAAATATTTGTTTCATACCTCCGCTATCCCACTCTACCAAGCTAAGCCGATGGTCCCAGTGTGGAGAGACAGGCATTCATCAAATAATCACACATTATTTCTATGAAGGAAAAATACAAGACACATCAAAAGAACCATGTACGTTGTTGTGTGTGTATGCATGCATGCACACATGTGGTGGCTAGAGGCTGGTGGTAAGGAGACCATTTCCGGAAAGGGAACAAATTTTGCAAAATGCCCTGAGACAGACAGGGACCTAATCCAGTAGGTGGGCTGAAGAGAAGCAAACTAGAGGTGAGAACAGAAATCAGCAGAGCCCAGGCTGATGGTACAGGTCAAGTTGAAGGTTTTGTTCCCATCCTAAGGAAAGGGCAGCCAACAAAAGGTTTACGCAGCAAACAACCAGGCTGTGATGCGTACTGGAGAGAAGACATCGTGCTGAGGGGCTGGGAGATGAATTCACATTTCCTTCATTTTATGAAGAATTTGCAAAACCTTTAAGTCAGAAAAGCTCATTTTCTGTTCTCTCAGAGGCAGTATAGTAGAATGGTTATGAATCCAGGATTTTAGGTGAAGATTTCAATCCTACTTTGGATAATTAATAATAAATTATGTCTAAGCCCCATGTTTCTCATAGGGCTTTTGTGAGCATTTAAATGCAAACATATGTAAATGTGAGTGGTATCTCTAGCGCTTATAAGCCCCCAACAATTTGCAGCTATTTTTCTCGGGTCTCCTTGCACCTTGGGTAAAGAGGTGCTGAGCTGCATCATAAGTTTCAGCAGAGTTTGACCCCTCTTAGGACCATCTTTCATTGAAGGACCTTTGGCCTATTGCTTTCTTGCTGAAGTTTAAATGTTTCCAGTTTCTTTTTGAGAACAGCTGGTCCCAATCTACTAAATAACCCCTTTGCACACTTGAAGACCATTATTAAGATTCCCTTTGGCCATAAACATACGAAGAAGTGTTTAACATATGAAAAAAAAAATGTTTAACCTCACCAGTAATCAAAGAAATTCAAATCAAAACAACAAAATGCAATTTTTGCCTATCAATTTGGTAACTTTTTTAAATGATAGTGCACAGTGCTGGTGAGAGCATGGTAAGGTGGCAATTTCATACATTGCTGGTGGGAACATAAATTGGTACAATCTTTCTGGAAAGCAATTTGGCAATATGTTATCAAGATCCTGAAAACTGTCCTTACCGTTTAACCCAGTAATTCCACTTCTGGGAATCTATCTCAAGGAAATCATCAAAGAATCAGACAAAAATTTCTGTTCATGGTGTTTGTCATAGCAAGCAATATTTTGAATTAGGAATAACTAAAAACTACCTAAAAGTCAAATGGTGTCGTGATATATATTAAAAATTTATTAAAAGTCATGTTAACAAGGAATTTTCAAGGACGTTCAAAATGGTCACCAAAAAACGTAAAACTACAAACACACGCAAGATACAAAACTAAACACCGTAGGATTTTAATTACATAATTATATATACTTGTATTTTTATATGTGCATTGAAACAGCTACATGCAAATACAGCAAAATATTAACAGTTCTTACTAGAGGGTGATAGAATTAGGGCTGGGTTTTTATTTTCTACTTTAAAATTTTATAAGCAAAGAAATTGTTTAAGAGCTCACATGGCCTTATGTATTTTTCTAAGTAGTTCCTCATGGTCTCTCTTCCACCATAGCATCTTGCCCAGAATCGAAACAGCGGACTTTCAGTGGTTACAGTTTTCCTGGAAAGGGCCAGATAGCAGATATTTTAGGCTCACATAGATCATACAGTCTTTGTTGCAACTTCTCAGCTCTATTGTTATGTGGCAAAACCAGCCACAGATCGTACGGCAGCCAATGGGCATGGCTGGTTCTAATAGAATATTTTAATACATAAAAACAGGCAGCAAGTCCGTTTTAGCCCACGGCCTTAGTTTGCTGACAACTGGTCTAGATGATTTGAATCTCTCTTGGCCCAAATTATGTATAGTCTCAAACAAGTATCGTTGGGGAGACTTCTAGAAGGGTGGGGTGAAGTAAGGTTCTTGTCCCCATATTCCTAGAGAGTCCATCAGTCTGAAATGTATTGAGAAGCAGTCAGTCAGGGCACTTCTCCCAGGCCTTGTCTATTCACCTCTTTGGTTTTTTTCTCCTATTTGTTTTTTATTATTTATAGTCTGGGGGGGTATAGGTGGCTTCTGGTGACATGGTTAAGTTCTTTTGTGATGATTTCTGAGATGTTAGGGCACCCATCATCCAAGCCGTGTATCCAATATGCAGTCTTTTATCCCTAACCCCCCTCCCAATCTTCTCCCCACCCAAAGTCCCCAAAGTCCATTATATCAGTCATGCTTTGCATCCTCATAGCTTAGGTCCCACTTACAGATGAGAACATACCATATTTGGCTTTCCATTCCTGAGTTACTTTACGTAGAATAATGGCCTCCAACTCCATCCAAAAGACATTATTTTGGATGTCTTATTATTGCTGCTGTCCTATTGCTGCAAAAGACATTATTTCATTATTTCATCTGCTGTCATATTGCTGCAAAAGACATTATTTCATTATTTCATTATTGCTGCTGTCATATTGCTGCAAAAGACATTATTTCATTCCTGCATGCCCGAGGTAAGAGGATCTTTCGGTCCAGAAGTTCTGGGCCGATCAGGCGTCCGTGCTAAATTCACCATCAATGTGATCAATGTGGTGACCTCTCAAGAGTGCAAGGCCACAAGGTTGCCTCAGGATGGGTGAACTGGCCCTGGTCGGAAACCGAACAGGTCAAAACTCCCACGCTGATTGGTATTGGCCTCTTGGCATGGGTCTTCCTTCTTCTTGTGCATCAGAGCCCCCTCAAATACCTCCTTCTGCCACCACCCACTGCAGCCCTTATCCCATCTGGTGGAATAGGAGGTGAAGAAAGCCAAACACCCCAGTGACGACTGACAGGGGCTACAGAGACTAGTTTCTGGCTAGTTTAAGATCTCCCCTCTCTACCAACTGTAGGGTAAAGGCACCTGATGGTGTAACTTAAGCATTCCCTGAGAACAAGGCTATATGGCAAATGCACCTGAATGTGTCTTCAGAGTTCCAAGCTAAGGAATCTGGGAGGAACCAAGGCAGAGATTCATTTATTATCTATGAGGAACATCTGAACGCCCAGCCCATCCTGCAGAACACAGGCCATGCAGGGATCGAGGCCCTTTGTTTTGGGGTTCAGTAAAGGTTGCCAGGTGGAGACTGTCAGGGGAACGGTGCTAAGTGACAATGTTACACACACTGCATGCTCTTTGCACGTAGCTCCTGCCCAGCCCGCCACCACTGGACTCTCTCCCCTATGTGTAAGCCCCCAGCCCCTGCCTCACCTGCTGGCCCTGGTTCTCATCTTTAGCCTCTTGAACCTGCTGCCATCCCCATTGGAGTTGATAGGGGTTCTGCACAACACCAGCCATGAGGTTTCCAGATTCCTGGGTTTCCAGTTCTGTCTTCCTTGTGGCCACTGTGCTCCAGAGGAAAAGAAAGAGACAGGCAAAGGATGAACTGTAAGTGTGCTGCATCCCAGGCATTGTTCGAAGGGGTCCATAAGATGTTTTTTGGCGGGGAAAGTTTTATATTAGAAAGGCAAATAGAACATTCAGCAAGGATGCACCACAGACTTATGTAAACGTATAAGTATATGTATATAAGACGAAGCTTCGAAAGTTCCCTTGTTGAGAGGAGAGTCCTACATCACTCACCTTGTATAGGTAGGGAGCCTTTCCACCCTCTCCACCTTTCCTTCCCTGCCCCGATTCTTTTTGTGTGTTTCCAGTAGGGACTCCTCGTTTAAACCATATTAGACATTAGACTCTTGTCCAGGAGGCAGAAATGACATCTCAGAGCAGTTCACATATCAGGTGATGAGTAAGGGGGTTACAGGATGACAGTGGCATTCCAAGGGCCTCTACTTCCCTCTCACTTTTCCCTACAAACACATCACATGCAAAGCTGAGAACCACCAAGTAAAAATGATCCATGTGGCAAGGAAAGTCACTCGTCCAGGGGTCCTCCCAGTGACCTCATCTGGCTTTTGGGTTTGATTCCCCTGACTGCTTTGATCTTATTATCATATATTCTATTGCACGTAGCACTGGCATAGGTCAACTTTCCTCACAGACTCAGCTATTCTGATAGTTAAACAAGGATGAGGAAAAAGAAGAAAACAAGGAGACTTTGCATTTTAAAAATGAAAAGCTCCAATAGGTCATTTTGCTTAAAAAAAAATTATCTCACACCATAACCAAGGCAGAAAACATTTATCCCCAGCCCTCACCTCCACGTACCATCACTGTTAGGCTGCTGCTCTATGACTTACTTTTCTGTTCAATATTGACCTCAGTGCATATTTGACTGTAATTTCCCATGCATGTTTGGTGATGGTTTTGTTGGAGGAAGGGTACGTTGAGGGCCCGTCATGAATCTCACTATCCCATGCCATCTTTTTATTAAATCTTATTTAATAAGCAATCATTGGGAGAAATGTGGTGGATGGGAAGGCCACAGGATTAGAAGTCATTCATGTGCCCACATTGTAGGCGTTTTCTCTGTAGAAGACAAGACTCCGTTTGAACGGCATTTCTGTCACTCCCCAGCTATGTGGATTACTTCACCTCCCCAGGCTTATCTTTCTTCTATTTGAAGAAAGGAAGGAATAGGGTGGGAGTGGGAGGCATGTGATCTCCATCATTCAGGGCTGTGAGCTGCAACAGGAGGCCATGTGATCACCTGGCACAGGGAAGGTGCTTAGAACATTCCATATCCCCATGTCATTCTTAAAGCAAGAAACCATGCTCATGGCTCTCAGAGTGGCAGAGAAGGATGTTACCCAGCCCTGGGCCCCAAGTGCTGAGTCTTCAGGGAAGACATCTGTGTACACAGGTAACTCAGAATATTGGGCATATTGCGAAAGGTGCTGCCAGAACAGAGAAGGAGAAATTCATCCCAATAGCTGGTATTAGTGAAGGCTTTGGGGAGGAGGTGGCATTTGAGTTGAGCCTTGAAGGACAAGGATGGAGATGTAGCCGGGGCTTCTGGGAGGAAACTGTGAAAGCACAGGCTGAAGAGAGGAGGGGACAAAGCATTTCAGGAAATGATGAAGCATGCAGGACGGTCAGGTGCAGAGAGAGCCCAGAGTAAGTGAGGCGTAAAGAACTGAAGGAGGCCAGATCATGACAGAACGACAGACGCAGTGCTGAGATTACGTGGTTTCTTTTTTGTTTTGTTATGTTTTGACTCAGAGTCTCGTTTTGGCAACCAGGCAGCAGTGGTGCAACCATAGCTCACTGCAGCCTCCACTTCCTGGGCTCAAGTCAGCCTCCCACCTCAGCGAGAGGACTACAGGCATGTACCAACATGCCAGGATAAGTTTTATTTTTATAGAGACAGAGGTCTCACTATATTGCCCAGGCTGGTCTCACATTCCTGGCCTCAAATGATCCTCCTGCCTCAGCCTCCCAAGTCACTGGGATTAGAAACATGAGCAAAATTAAATGTTATCATGCGGGAAGGGAGCATGAGATTCTCAGACCAGGAAGTGACATCATCAGAATGTCATTTTAACACAGTGAAGGCACATCTGTCTCCTCAGGAAAATCCCCTGGCATAATCATCAATGGAGCTCTCTTTCACTCATAAAAGCACTTTCATTTAGATGAAAAATTACATGATCACTCTCAGTTTAGATCACCCTGCTGTCCATGGGGCACAGAAACCAGTGGGTCTCTCAGATGGACCAGATAGACCCATTCAGAGGCCATATCAACTATCCAAGCAGGAGGTAGGAACTTCCAAAAGCAGAGAACTCATGGGAATGGAAAGTGCTACATCCAAGGACCAGTTTGAAAGTAGGTTCAATAAAACCTATTGATTGCCAGATGAGTGATGGAGAAAGAAATAAGCAGACCCACTAGCTGATGGACAGTTTAGTATCAGATATGGGGACTGGATGGACTGATCAGGACATTCTTGTGTAAGAGGACAAGGAGCTTGCAATGAGAATCTACAGCACAGCAGAGGCCAGAGCTGGAGATGTGGATTTGGCAGATGGCAGAATCCCAGGAACAATCATGGCTGAAGAGGGAGGCTGTGTGACCACCCAGGGAGAAGGTCAAAAAGATGACACTGGGGGCACACTGAGATGATACTGAGACTTACGCAAAATGAAAGAAGATTCAGGGAGGAACAGGATCATGGACACCTATGGAGAAGAAGGTTTGGTGGTGACTGGCCGCATCAACAGAGCCAGACGCTCCTGCAGGAATGAGTAGGATGGAAGGGGACGATTAGAAAGAGCTTTGAAAGTTCCATTGCAGCAGAGCAGTGGGGCAGAGGCAAATTCAGTGGGTTGAAGGGTGAGTGGGAGGAAAGGAAGTGGTGTCAATAAGCACAGATGATTCTTTGGATAAATCTGTTACTGAAAGGAAGGAAAGAGATAAGCCTGTGGTTTGAGGGAATAATATATATATTTATTTTTGATATGAAGTCTTGCCCTGTCACCCTGGCTAGAGTGCAGAGGTGCGATCATGGCTCACTGCAGCCTCTGTCCCCCGGATTCCAGAGATTTCTCCTGCCTCAGCCTCCTGCGTAGCTGGGATTACAGGCACACACCACCACACCCAGTGAATTTTTGTATTTTTAGTAGAGATGGGGTTTCGCCATGTTGGCCAGGCTGGTCTTGAACTCCTGACCTTAGGTGATCTTCCTACCTCAGCCTCCCAAAGTGCCGGGATTAAAGGCGTTAGGCACCGCGCCCAGCCAAGGGAATAATCTTTTAAAAGGGGGCAGGGAAGCATTTGGGAAGTTAAGTGTGGAAGCTGAACATATTTGAACACCAAGAGGAAGACACTGGAAGGAAGAGTGGGTATGAAGGTACCAGAGATAACAATTTGGAATAAAGTAGGAACAGATCATTTCTGCTCCAGTGGAGAGGCTAGCCTTAGACAAGAGATGGGACTCTGGAAGGAAGCAAGGCTGCGCTTGGAGGGAGGGAATGCTGGTGGTCGTGGTTGTACTAGGGATAGCATTGTAATAATAATCAGTAGTAGTAACAATTAATGGTTATTCTTACTTTTTGCTTACGCGCAGGTTCTCTGCATTGTTTAAATTAATTTCACAGCCCCATTTTATATGCAGGGCAGCTGAGCCCTGGAGAAGCTACTTAAGTTGGCCGCAAACAACTGTAAAAATGCCAGGATATGGATTTAAAGCCAGGTCTTTCCAAAGAATGGCATAGCCAGGCTTGTAGGCCAGTTGGAGTCAGTGTAGACCAGTGGCTCAGTCCTCTCAGTGAGTTGGAGGTGAAGTCATCTCCTGTGAATGATGGGGGTGGATGTGGAGGCCCGAGGAAGGAGGAGAAGAGTTAAAACAGCTGTTATGAAGAATGCAGTAGGGATGAGCCAGAGAAGAGAGAGGGCACAGACAGCTTTCCAGGGGCACTGATAGTAGATTCCATCTTGTTCTCATCACCCTCATTCCCAGCCCCATTTCCTACTGGGAACACGCACCCCACACTCTTCTCATTTATTTCGCGTCCTCTCTCCTCTAATCCTTCCATCAAAGGAACTAAGAGCTATGTGGCCCAAGAATGGGTTACATTCTTCCCACTGCTAAAGGACTTGGTGATGGCCAGGGGGTACCGCTGGGGAGGTGGTCCTCAGAGCCTTTGTCCTGCACCAAGAACCCCCTCGGCCTGAAAGTCTTAGGGAAGCAGGACATTCACCAAGCAACAGAGATTCCAGATGGAGTGTCTGGGACCTGTGCTTCTGTGTTTAGAGGTCCAGATTTGCATTTCTGACTTAGTCTCCCAAGTTGCCTGGGCCCAGCCAATAGCAGAGGACAGCTGGGGTCAAAGCACTCATCCCAAGTGAATTAGCCATCTTCTATTCCATTAACAAATCTGTCCATCCCATGTGACCTCTTTCTACTGGAGATCTATTAATTTTAGCTAACAATCAGTGAAGGGGACACCATTAGCCCAGAGCTCAAACCCATACCTCTGATTCACTGGTTTGACCACTTTGAAAACAGTATCAGGATCAAGTAGGCTGAGCCTCCCTCTTTGGTCAGAGCTTCATTGATTTAGTAAACAGAAGGTGTTCGCCGTGGAGACAAGGTTGGTGTAATATTACTGTTTGTTGGATGTGGACCACCACTTCAAACAAACCTACTAAGCTACTGGTCAAATTAATAAAATCCATTCGGGACCAGAATCTAGAAAACACAGGGCTCAACTCAAATGTCCGTAAAACGGGCTGGCAGGTTCCAGAAGCGGCTATTGGAATCTTCTCAGGACTCTCTTTTCCACAGGGCTAGAAACTCAGTTGCAAGAGAGTAATCACAATGAATTCTTAATAACCGAGAAAAGGTACAGGGAAAATGATCACATCTGGTCCGACTAAAATGGAATCGTTTGAGGGAATGCAAGCAGGCAACACTCCAATCTACATTTCAGGCAACCGGGTT